TCTGCTTCTGGTTATGTTCTATGCGCAGCCGGACATGATGCGCACATCGGGTAAATTTAACGGTAACTTGCAATTCGTACGCGCCAGCGTCCTTTCAGAAAGCAGGCCAATTGTGTTTATTGTATGATAACAGTGTCGATGATTTTTGAATTATTTATTACCAGCAATAATATTATACGGTCACGAATATTATGTGAATTTTGAAATCTGATTATATTGACAAAATAAAACAAATTTACCGTCAATTAATTGACAACGACAGGTTATCTGGTTTTCACGCAATATGCCACCAGTGGAAATAATTTTAGTTTTGCCATGTGAAACATTATATTCCAGCCGTCACTTCATCAATTATCGTTAAGTAACATTCGAACATTGGACCACAGTGTGTCGTGATATGGATTATAATAATGACTCCTTGTATGCTAAGCTATATTCAGAACTGTACTGGGTTATATTTATCAGTGGCAGATCCAGCAAAATGTATTGGGGGGGGGGGGGGGGCAAGCTTCGCTTAACGTTACGGAGCGAAAATCGCAGAGAAGCTATGCGTAATTCAGATGATATGAATCGTCATGCGTTTGAGGGGGCATGCCCCTGCCCCCTGGATATTTATATAGTTATATTTGCCAGTTAATAAAAATGTTATGAAATGCAAAGCAGCTTCATACAAATTCAGAAATTCGGCGCATGAAATACGAAGTGAGAGAATGTGTTCCGAGATTACAATACAAATCTGGATGAAAACGGCGTTAGGAAATGTATTTCAATCTGAGAATTATTTTATTTCATTGATGACCAATTACTGTAGTGTATGGGGAAACTTACCAAAGTGCATCTTCTATGCAACTATGATTCTATGATTTAAGCACATTTTTTTTATTTATTGACGTGCACGCTAGCTACAATTTAATATAATATAATGGGTCCTCTCTCCTGATTTATAGTTCTATATTTGTGTTGAAATATTAATTTCTGCTGAAAAGCCAGCTTAAAGCTATATTAATTACCCGAGACGTCACATTCATCTGATGACATGTCTGCCTGTCCGAGATTATTCGAAAACGATATGACGAACTGCCACGTTGTGCATTATTCGGACATTTATTATATAAACAAGGCCTTGGATGTGTACGATATCAAGAAATGACAGCTGTCTCCAAGTGGCTGCTAGTGGCAATACCCACTAATATCGTTCTCAGCCAAGGTCAAGTACTGAACAGGATATTATTAATTAATTTATATGACATTCACATGAGAATATCAATATTTCATACGTATCTGAAACACTGAATGTCCTAGCAACGATCGCTGCCATGCCTTATTTTTGAATGATTTGCTTAGCTTGTGACCTTCAATGAGATCACCACGATATTGTATTGCGATATTTTAACTGCATAAAGATGACGTAATGATAAATTCCCCCACCGAGAACGCGGAATCGATTTTATGCGATAGTGCGCATGCGTTAGGAGTAGTGTACGAATGATTCGATTATTGGAGCGTCTGTCTTAAAACTAGTTTTCGCCTAATGTTCTTTGCCTACTTATTGTGTATCTGTACCTTTGAGTATACAACTTCGATTCTGAACCATTAGATTTAATCGGCGTAAGTATTTCAGATTGCAGCAAACATATGAACAATAACTTTAATAAATACGGTTTTTACTTTTTTCTGCAAAAAACAAACAAAACGATTTCACAAAAGAAGGTCCATGTCGTAGTGTTGGTAGACGATGTGCGCTATGATTTTGACGGGCAATGGTGTGTTATACCAATGATTTATAAGATATGCGATGAAGATCTCACGAGAAGTGCGCTCTCGCGATTCGTGAGCGTTTGAAAGAAAGTGATCTCTTTCATTGCATGTTAATCGAACGCAGTTAGCACTGGCAATTAATGTTCGAACGCAAAGACAGAAATGAGCGAGGTTACCTATTCACAAATGAATAAGCACAGCACTACCAAAAAATGAGATGACCACGAATAAGTTCTGTCACTGACTCGCTTATTTTAATTAAGATTTCTAGAAATGTAAGTTTCTTTTGCGATTTTGTGACCATATCGCATTTATGAATTCTTGTTTTAAATAATCAAAATCACGTGATGCAAGACACGTATCATACTGTCACGTGATGCCAGTGTCATTTATACACATTGGAAACGAAACAGAATAAGAGCGAATTGGACCTTGATAAAACAACTCAAACGATGTTATTTTTGCCATTACCAACTATTGCCGGCTGTCATAGTTCTTTAATTTTATTTGAATGCAAGCAATAATCTCTGGCATCTGATAAATCCGTTGTCGGTAATAGATCTGCAGTTGTTTAATCGTAGCTACAGAACGAAATAAAAAGCGATTCGCCAGAGTGTTAAAATCAGTATAGTCGGAATAGTAAATCAAGTACAATAGCGAAATTGGTCGCCAGGTAGTCCCCTAGACAAACATTTGCACGGCGTGTACATTTCCCTATCCACCTGTATCTAAGGTTTTCAGGTGATATATAGGCTGTTATAAAAGCTTGCTCTTTAACGTTTAGATAACGTCTAAACCACAGACCAATTTTAACATGTTTACTCTGTTGCTACAATAACCATCCAATATCTTTCTGAAAAAAAGACTAAATTAATTTTAGTCTTGAATATTTATTCAAACAACGAATCGACGCTGTCTTCATGGCAACCAGATCTCTCCTAAAATATTATCGATTGTTTCATGCCCTTTTAAAAACCAAATTAACTTGAAAATTCGTTCTCATCTTTTTTTGGTTATGTGGCAATGGGTAATCAATGAAAACATTCTTGGCAACGAGATCCAGATCTTTTCCAAACCCGAAACAATTAGTGCTTGTTTAGAAGACAGTCTTATGCAAAGGATTCTAAAGCTAAGGAAAAATCATTCCAAATGTGTTTAATTATTTTCATGGAAACATCATTGATCCAGATCTTCCCCATAATCTAATAGATTTGTACTTATACCTAGGGTTATCCCATGACAATCCTTGACTTGTTAAGTTATCAATGACTAATATTTCTAGATTTTGCTGTTTCCATAGAAACCGGATCCAAATCTCTACAAAAGTCTAAGCGATTAGTCCGTGTGTTAAAGCGGGAGGGTCCTCACCTGCGCACGCGCGGGAATTGAGTCCCAAGCGACGATAACAACACACACTAAAACGCAAAGGCTCATGGGTAGACGATTGTTTGTAAACAATGATACGCTATGGCCACCTGACGCATGCGTAGGTGACGACTCCCCCGCTTTAAGAACAAAGCCCCTCAAAATAAGAATCATCAACAACTTTTCAACAACAATTTATCCTGCTGGACAGTCATCTGTTTAGTCATCTTCGCTTAGATGCAATGGCCGCCGAAATCTCGTTGAGAGCGAGAAAGTCGCGACATTGCGTTTTGTCTACTCTCATAGCGTCAAATTCTCTCCCGTCATCGCGTCCACTGTTTCATTGGTTTATGTAACCATGGTAGTTTTAGACAATGGGCACGACGAAAGGTGAGAATTTGACACTACGAGAGTTCACAAAACAATCTCATGATTCTAGCTCCTTCAACGAGATCTCGTGAGCTCTCTCAACGAGATCTCGGCGGCCATTTGCATCTAAGTTGGTTTATGATTAGAACTGGTTATTTCAAACCATTTTTACGAGTAGTCTAGAGGGTGAACCGTTAGGCTAAATGCGCATATTCACTAGTGTAATGATACACACCAGCGATTGTATCCTAACATTTCAGACTTTGTATACATACATTTTGTTTGATAACTTTGCCATTTATTATTTATACGATTGAACAAAATAAAATTGATTTAAATATATTTATATTCAACGTGTCTCAGTGCCTAACTATTAGTTTGAAGTTTCCTGCAGCTTTTGAAATTGGGTTGAGACTGTTCTAATCGCGTAACAATCTCCAGGCACGCATAGCACACCAGTCAGCAATTTAGCTGGCAATTTTGCTGTTTTGTTGTTTGGAACAACATGGCGGTGACAGTAATTGCTCATCGAAATCTAATTTTGACGTGGTTTTGCAAAAAAGGGCGTGGTTTAAATATGGGCGTATTCATTTTTGTAACTCAATGTTCGTAACTCGAAAAATTCAGCATCTCCAGTGCATGATAGATTGATTAATTGATTGATTCGATACAAGATTGTTCGAAAGCCATACTTTTAAAAGCAATCTTGTAAAGAAGTCAGGCGATTACAATCGGCATTCTGATTGGATCTCTCCTAAGGTTCGTGTAGCAGGCGACCCATGCCAATGCGATGAAAACCCAGCTACCCGTGCCGCACCAAGAAGTAATATCATATTGCTGACTGAACCTCAAACTCGCGTCGAGGGAAATTTCAAGTTGCGTGACAAGCAAGCCAATCAAATTGGCCAATATCGAGAAGACAATTTGCAAGACGCGCGACAATGCCGCCTATCCGCTTCGGGTATAGGTTGAGATGTGCTTAACTAACGATCGGCTGTTATCTTAGATTCCGCACCACGTCACACTGACACGATCACGATTAGGAAAAAATATCAAGATTCAGACGATAACCGGCATAGGCGGGGTGGGAGATTAAGTGTCTTATCTTCAACCTGGTCACTGAAAAGCATGAACTTTTCCCCTTTTCCCCTTATAATCTTCTTATTTTCCAATCTTCTTATTTCGTATTTTTTTTTATAATATTATTCTTGGTTTATTTTATCATGAAACTGAGAAGTGGAAGAGCAAATACATTGTGTACATAGGTGTTTCTCAATCAGTGTTATGTTATTAGTACCAGCATTCGACATCATGATTTGCGTATCACGTGACAATACGGGGCATCCCAACAGGAAGCAATACGGCGTGAAACGTGTATGTAATTTGCATATAGACTAGTCATTTTAAATAGTACACTACGGTGAAGAAGCTCTGAATATCAATCACCCCACATTCGCAGTGGCACGGTGTCATGATACACAATATATCAAGAGACAGAAGGAAGACTAATTATGTATGAACAAATAAACGAAGTATATTGGATAAATGTACAGTCGTACTAAAAAAAGAATGCATCGAGTTAACTAAAATAAACAGAGACTTCAAATAATAAACGCATTGAAAAAGAGAGAAAAACATACACGACGACCTCACACTGCATTCACCTTGTTGTCAACATATCGTGTTGATTTTCGCCGTTAATGAACGTCAAATCCACACCCGATATCCCGGCACGGTTCACCCATAGTATATTCGGCACCAATGATCAACACATATGCCGCTCGTGTATTTACGCTCAACACAAGCTTATCATAAAACTCTCGGCGGGCTCTAAATATAGCATTTTGTATCCTTCAACTCCCAGGAAATCAAAGAAGAATGTATCGGCAACTAAAATTAATTAACACGTGACACTTATTCGCACTGTTATGTTTACACGACGTTGACGATCGGTATTTTTTTTTTTATAGATGGAAGGCAGGTGTCAAAGGCGTGCGATGAAATCATCTGTCGTATTCTGTTAGAATATTGATCAGTGAAACCTCGACGCACGTGTATCGTTGACACCGTGTCAAAGTTCATCATGGAGACGTAGCATCAATATTATATCCAACATCGTGACGAAACCGACATTGTCACTGTCGAAAAAAAATTAGTGCACGACAGCCCGGTAAAAAGATATTTTCCGGCCCCATAATAGCATTTTTCGCACGATCCGGGCGGTTATGGTAATCGCTCGTGATAAATTCCATCATTACGTTGTCATCTGCTTGAAACGAAATGGATTAATTCAGCTGTTACATATATAGCCCCCGATTCGAAAACATGCCAAGAACGAATACAAATTCTCGTCTGCAATCCACAAATTGCGGGAAAATAAAATTAAAGTAGAAAAACAGAGTGATTGGAATGACCAGGCGCAGACGACACTAGAAAACAAGTTTAAATAAATAGTGTCAATAGCCCTTTAACATTTTCACATATTCTGAATAATTGATACGCCCATCACGATTTTTGTCAGCGACTCGCATCATTCGCGCCACGCGTTCTTCGGTATAGTCAGCTTTAGTGCAGTCTTTCATGGCAACTTTAAGTTCATCAAACGTTATGTATCCGCTATTATCCGTATCAATCATCCGAAATGCAGCTAATATCTCTTTTTCCTCTTGCGGCGAAAGATCTATGAACAAAAAACAAAACAAGAAATTAGTATAACACTTTTTAAAAAACTTTTTATTTCGATCTTTTTGCTAAGAAATGTTATTATTTACCGAAACTTCACATCAAAAATATCGCCTGAAATAAGAAATCAAAGTAGCAACAGAAGTACTGGAACTAATTGGTCGTCTGCACTCAGCTGGCGTTGAAATGTAACAAGTCAATGTTGCTTCAGGGAATATAAAGACACCGTGGATCACAGCAGGGCGCCAGAAATGAAAGTCAGACTTAGCTCTTTTTCAGATGAACGATTTTCAATTGATTGCAAATCATTTTGAACGCATGAATTATTCGGAACGATATAGTGGAGTCGTCTGAGATTGTTTCCTAAGAGGCAGACTATTTGATACTCCGGGGTGCGGATGGCAGAAGTTTGCACAGAAAAAATATGGACAGTCTGCAGCGATCAATTACAGAAGAAAACATATTCTGCATGTCTGAATCTTAAGGCCAAGAAAAATATCACGCTCATTGTAAATAAAACTACAACATAAACACTAAGTGAAGATTAAAAAACATTTTGCAAACAGTTTTTCTACCACCCAACAGCCGTAATGCGCAGAAGGTTCACGCGAGATCTCTGAATTCCAACGCGATGAGAAACGTTCAGTAGATGGCGAACACATTGACTTTCTGTACTTTAAGTTCAAATTCAGTGTCAAATTAAGAAAGGCTTTGAACTTGAAAGTACAGTATTGACAATGTCAGAATCACGCTCTGAATTCCAACGCGATGAGAAACGTTCAGCAGATCGCGAACACATTGACTTTATGTGTTTTCAAGTTCAACGTCAGTGTCAAGTTAAGAAAATATTTGAACTTGAAAGTAGAATATTGACAATGTCAAAATCACTCAACATATGGTATCGTTTATTTCACATGATTAGTTTACATCATTCATCCAAAGAAACGGCGGTTGAGCAAGGATGTTTAACTACAACAGAAAGACCCTATAAAACACAAGTATGTTTTATGTGCAGTTATTATAAACAGTAGAAATTCCAGTCCTATCGACTGCCACGTGGATGTCAAGCATATGGCACAAGCGAAATGTGCACATACGAAGACGACAAACACAAAAATGACAATTTAGTATGATAAACTTTGGACACGAACTATATGTGTTTGGCACAATTTAGGCGGGAGGCATCTTCCATTTATGTATTCTATATGATGGCGCGTTTGACCCATAGAAACACAGAGATCATCATCTCGGCGTTATTTTCGAACACCGTGAATCGACCCGAATAATGCCAATCTCGCTATTTACGATTCATTTACACTGTATGTGTTTCTCATGAAGTATGTTGAACCATTATAGTTCCATGGTTGAACTCACGGGTAAATATTAGAGCCAAGTATGTTTACTCAACAGTGAAGGGGGGCTAACCGGAGGGGACAACTTTGAAAACAATAAAAAACACGTAAACAGTGATACGTTGATTGTAATTTGGGAAAATGTGGCAAAATATAATGGACATGAGTGGTGAATAATTGAACACGTTTGCATTAGTATATGATACAATTGATATAGGAGTATTAGTATTGGCCATAATTGGTTTATGATTTGTCATATTGCGGTCGGGAGTTGTCCACACGTGACCTAGAAATTCAAGTTGACACCTTAGTTCCGTGTAGGATTATTTTATTTATTTATTTAGTTAGTTTCGGGTACCTTCCATGGGGTAACCAACGGACATGAAGGCCAATTTACAGATCTAAACGAATACAATACAGACCACAACAATTACAGGACACTACATTTTACAACGGGGGGGGGGGGTTAAAATTAAAGTTAAGCCTTTCATATGTATCGGAAACATGTAGAATTATTATTATCTTGACATAGGGGGGAACTTCCTTAAGTCGATGCGACTACGATGAACTCTATAAAGATCCGTAAATGTCTAATAGAAGCTTTGGAACATATATTGCCAAATAATCAAGTTTCTGATTTCAGTTAAAATGTAATAGGGTACTCCTATTATGTAATGACAGTTTAAAACGATTGCATAGGTCTCTATAATTACTAGTAGAATACTGTAAGTTAGACTTAAAACATAAACAAATAATAAACTTGCGCTGGAACAATTAAAATTGGAATATTCTAGTTGACTGCAGAGTAACTAATCTGTGCATTATGTAAAGCACCCAAAGCGTGGAATTCTATATTAACTTGTTTTTCCTTCGATGTATGACTATTTTGAAGTCTGAAATCGTATGCCTGAGTATCAAGCGAATAGGACGCTTACGTCGTTCGTTTAGGTAAATTGAACAAATTAATCGTGTGCCACCCACAACTTACCACGACGTTTTCATATTTTTCTATTCGGAAAACACTATAGCAAACCTGAAACAACCCAAATAAATCAAAGTTCAACTCTCCAAAGCTCCTCTGCATATGTAGAGTATAGGCAATTATTATATCTAGAAAATAAAAATTCCCTACAGTCAGTGAAGGAGCAATGGCATTAGAGGTTAGAAGATTTTGTTTACATACGCTGGATTATGCAAATTAGCTTTTTAATATGCACGGTCATGGCTCCAATACTACCATGTCTGGACATTACCTCAAGGTATATTGAGAAAAAAGAGTTCCGGACTACATGTGTACGTGAAAAAAATTCTCCTGGATTTTAAATGGTCAACTTTTAATCTTAAGGGGAAACTTATCTCAACGTTTACGACGACAATTCCTTATCTCACTTGGAGAGCATAATTTTGCTGACTTGCAGGATTTTGCAATTATTCTTAAATTCAGGGTTAATTTGTCCGTACAGTGAACCCAGTAGATGTCTATAAAATTCCAATCATCTTTAGAAAGTTTGAACTCTTTTTATCATTCTGCGCGATAGGGATTCCCCCCCCCTGTTTCTCAAATTTCATCTAACGTTTCACTGTTTCTGATTCACCCATTTTGTTGAAACAACTCTCACTATGCGAAAATAAATTAGCTATAATGCGAATCTTGGCGACTCCTAGATTGACTCGAAGTCGATACACCAAGTGGGAAGTTGGTACTAAAGAATGCAATAACATTCCCTCATTGATTGCACGTCGGTCGCATTTACGTTTGAATATAACATATCATGTACGTGATGTGATGTGGAGCCCAGTTATTACTATCGTGCGTTCAATCTTAGTCACGGCCGAGATATATAATTGCTCACTGCCCATAATGCACCACGAACTCGCGAGGTAAAAAAAATTGATCAACTACGTTGTTCAACAACCAGTTTGCCGTGTCTTTACAGCTTCGTTCCTATACCTAGTATTTATACATTGCCTAGAAGCAACGTCTGTCGGGTAACAGGCAAACAGCTGTAGAATCAGAAACAATAATCGTTCGTGATTTGTTGGTGAAAATAAAACGGGTGTGAGCTGAGGTGTGAAATACGAAGTTTTGGAACAAAATGGTGGCCTCCTGTCACCGGGCGAGATGGGGAAACATTTAAGCTAAGCTAAGTGGTCCTATGTCATGACATATTCATGAAACGAGTGTATTGCCTTTAATTAATCATGGAATCACACGCTATGGGTCGCATGCTAGAGACAAACAATTACTTGTCACAATCGTAGCTGAACATGAGGCGTGACTCTACGTTCGGAATGACTCGCACTGAAGGGTAGAACATCGGAAGACCCGGAAAAGAGAACGTCCAAGGTAGATATACTCAGGCACCAAGTTAAATGTCAACGTCAGACAACCGCTTTATGTGTAGAAGTAGATACAATGGAAAACAACCAATCTAATAAATGGCCGGCGATAACTCGCTGTAAACGAGAAGGCTCGAGACTTTGTTTAAACCGTCAAATCCCTGTTTCATTCTCTTCCGTTCCGACGTCTGCTGTTCCAAATACTTGGATTGTATGTGCCAAGTGAACGTTGAACGCGCTGATCACAGATAATGAAACACTATATGAGAGATAAAACCAAGTCTCACGTTTAACGAGACTTGGCGGACATTTGCATGTAAGGCGGGGAGGATTCGAAGCAATAATTGAAATCAGGGAAAGCCATCCATGGAACTCGAATGCAAGAGTGATATTTGTGAGTAACATATCTGCGGGAAACATGGTAGACTCACAAATGCCCTTAAATACATCGGGACGAAATAAAATAAAAGAGCACAATGGAATAAAATATGAACATATTTTGAAGGTTTAAAAAACTTCAAGTAATAGCGTAACCCATATCATGCGAAGCAGATTAGCTGAAGTATGTCGACGCAGCTGTCATTGCTTCTGAATAAAACACGTGTTAGTTCTCTAAAGAATTGAACTCTGTTCCATATTAAAGGGCGCCTGTTATTTCCATACAGACCGCTGTCGGTTGTTTTGGGGTTGTAGTAATACTCGACATTCAAGTTGAAGTATTTAGGGATTCGGCGGATTACGATCATGGGAATTTGGATTTGTCATGATAGTGATTTCTTATATTTTATCTCTATAACAGGCGCGATTTTATCCGCTCATTATGAATTGGTAAACTTAATTGTCCTATTAATCATGAGGAAAGTGAAATAAGAGACGACAGACAAGCCCCTACCAAGTCCTGGTATTATTTATCGTTCTGTGCGACACGTGACCGTGCACGTGTAAGTGAAATCTGGCATGGTTGACACCAATCATGGACAGCACGTGACAACATGAAATGTAACATGATTATGTGTACGTTTTATACTATATCCGTATGTACTTCATACTAGTACACGTTTCATTTTTGCTATTTGAGTTGGCGACGAAATTGCTCGAAGGTGGTAAGTGTATTCAGCAGATATATGAATACACATATTGTAAGATTTCGAAAGCGTCAGACCAAACTACCACATAGACGTTTCTGTTTTCAGTAAAACATTGAATATATTAAGATTAAAAGACAGTTTAGATATTGCGAAATAAACGGGAATATTGTCGCATTTCCACCACTTGGACACTATGTAAACCTTCCGTGACTGACGACCATGGATGCTTGTATTACAATATGCTAGCACGCAATTTCAAGCACAAATGGGTAATTTGTCGCAACATGTTTTTTTTTATCCCCTTCACTGCTAGATTACACAGCTTTTAGCAACAATGGTGATCTAAAAACAAGCCCCGCCCAAATCCTGACGTGTAATTCAATCCTTCAAAACATAGTTCTTTTGAAAGTCCTACTAAATGATAGGGCGGAGAATCAAAGAAAATTGGGCATTGAGGCGAACAATGCCCGCGATGTGGAGTACCAAATAACGTAGGTGAAGTAAGAGCAAATTGCACATTTTAAATGCAAACAGTTGAAAATTGAGATTGATCTGAAAGACTCGTATTCCATATAGGACATCGACATGACCCCTGGCAGGGTCTGTCAAACTGAAGTGTTTGTTTGCCATGTTCTCGATTCAATTACGCGTCCGGTATATCGCGTTTCGAGGGCAGAGCCCGAGTCACACACTTTGCAATATTGTGTTCATATTTATATATTCACCACAGAAATGAAAAAAAATAGTGCATACAGTTTCAGAACGTGTATATAATGCCAAATTAAAGAGAATGATACAGCATGGCTTTCCAAGTAGCAAATGGCGTCAACGTTTATTTAAGAATACATGAACACACACACTTTTAGAACAGGAATTTCCAGCAAATCTACGAAGGTATTCTTTATGACTTACTATTTGTAAATCCAAAGAAATCCAAAGTCTCAGTTGTATGTATTTTGACTAATTTTGAATTCAAAATGGCTGGCTACCATTGAAACCTTTCGCTCAGCATAATATCAAGTATTTCTAATGTTATTTTTCTACAGTATTGATCGAGTTGAGATAATTAACACTACGCAACTTTCACAAAGCGCGCTGGCGCATTCTAATCGTCGTTTAAATAGATATCTTATTCAACTAAGGTTGTTAAAGCGGGAGGGTCGTCACCTGCGCACGCGCGGGAGTTGAGTCCCAAGCGACGATAACAACACACGCTACAAATGCAAAGGCTCACTGCATGGGCAGGCGCTTGTTTGTAAACAATGACAAGCTATGGCCATCTGACGCATGCGCAAGTGACGACTCTCCTGCTTTAACGTCGGCATGAGATTCAATATTGAACACGACGAAACGACTGCTGTGCATGATGTTCTACACTCCAAAGTGAGATAAACGTCATAGTTGGGTGAAAAATAAGCTTAGGGTGGATCATGTTTTCCTTCAGAAGTATGTTTAGTCATCTGAGAAAAAAAACGTGTGCGCGAATCTCTGCGAGGGTTTGCAGCTGAGGTCTAACATCTTTGGGCCGGGCATAACGCGTTGCAAAATAAATACTCAGGCAAAAGTCGTGGATTGGGAAGTTGCAATTTGAATATCCATGGAAGACGTCAAAGGCAACTCACATTCAGTTAGTGAAGTTTGCCCGAGAGCGAAATTTCCGATGGCATCTGTTTTTCGCTATTATAATATTTGAGATTCGTGAAACATCATTGATGCCAAAAACGTTCACTTGATAATTATGTGACATGAAGCTCGTGAACTGACGTCTGTTAACTCAATCAAAACCGTTCATGGTACTTTTCGTTTGATAGCGTCCCTTTTCTATGTAAGGAGGCGGCGAAACCATGGTTACGTCGCGGTCAATATATCTTGTTTTTCAGAATGGGCGCTTTCACTCACGTCTTTATCTCTCAAATCGATGTAGAACCAAACCGTCGATTTCCATTTTCTTTGTTGAGACTAGTATTGTTTACGTCAAACCCTAAGTGAGATTCCGGGCTTGAAGAGTCAGACGACTAACCCCCTTTTTTATGATTCACTAGAAACAACAACAGGCAAATGAGCAAACATAATTGCGAATATCACAGATATTCATCAGTTCTCAACTATAATGTCACCTCAAGTCATTATACAGTATTAATGACTCGCACGTGACCCAATTTTGTTAAATCGGCGTGACGATGTTGGACACGAGGTGTGCACATATAATAGACGCGGCTATGTAGATACACCCCCAGGGAAATATGTCTAAAACTAAGGACCATACAGGAAATGAACATATCTCCTTACTGTAATTTTCTCTCGCCAGGATAATGTCAACACGGAGACAGGCGGTCAGACGGAAAACAGCAGTCTTTGGAATACGTAGACATTCCCGGAACAGGATGGGTGATTTTTTTATTACTAGGAATTGAATAATTCGGATAATTTGTTGTGTAATTAATAGCGACACTGTGGTTCTATCTACACTACAACATTCGTTGAATAATTTAACAGAACGGCACTTTCTGTCTGTTGTGGTTTGGCGGGAAAACGCACAATCGTGTGCTAAATAATTTGTGTTTGTGCCGTACGATGTTACTTTTGTTCTCAGTTTTCTCCGCCATGTGGAGAATAATTAAAATGGCGGTGATCGTTGGTTTCCTATGTGGGTCCCATGCATGTTTACAACGTGTGTAAATTACATTGCTTGTTCACACGAGCGCGGTCTGCACCGTGACGACGACGACCACCGCAGTTTGTTGTGGTTTGGCGGGAACATGCACAAGCGTGCAACTATTAATTTTCGTGTCATCGTACATGATTCTGTGCATGACACCGTAAGTAACATTGCCCACCCTTATGCATACAGATGTACAATTACGTGTTAACACGTAACCATGCGTCCATCATTGTATGTTGATACGCTTGTAAATAACATTAACGTAAAAGTCGAAACAACCTAGACTAGAAGTCAATTCACCAGTCCAGCCAACTATGGCTCCCTAAGTTGCTTATATTTAATCAGATACTATTTCGTCATCATGCTTTGTTACCTTACCTGTTTATACCTCATTAGGGCGTTTTTTTATGGCAAGATGGCGCAAACGGAAGTTCTTCGCAGGTATATGGTTTCTCATATTTAAATCATCATAACTCTGAAGATAATCATTTTTTTATTTTATTTTTTTTCAAATTTATAATCAATATACATAACTTGATAAATACAAACACCAAAATAGGCTCTATTTGGTTCCCCTTTAATATAACACCACCGTCGTACAACTGAACGGGGAAACCTTCTCTGCCTCGCCTGCTGTTACCTATCTAGAACACATACGTCATCGATAATTTGCGGGGAATGACCAAAATAACTACTTGTACCCGCACCCATACTGGTAACTTTTTATCACGCCGAAGAAAATGACAAATACACTGCATGTGGTTGATTTGCAAAGAATATGTCAAACCACAAGTCACTGCGACAGGGTCTTGTCATCGCCTTGTTGTTCAGGACAATAATGTATTTCGGATTTTGGTACATAGGCGTTTTAAACGCTTTCCATCATTTGCATTGAACTTGCTAGTTATTTGTCAGTCGCCTTTGTCGAATAATAGTTGGCATAGCGGTAACAAAAACAGTGTTCACTTGTTAGTGTTGGCTTTGATTTCTCATCGACGATCCATGGGTGGTGCGCGTATAACGGATAATTATAACGCGAATAACAATAACATAATCGAGTTTTGTTGTCCCACGGCGGCTAAGGGCCATGTTTCAACCCACTTCGTGCCGAGCTTAGCAACGTTTAATAGTGAAACTCTAAACAAACGGTTCAGTAACACTGAACTGGAGGATCGGCATGCCATTCATAATATACAACAATGTGGAAACATTTCTCTGGCTGTGACATCGTCGAAAGCGGCCCGGGCATCCACTGTAGCACGCCGCGCTAAGATCGAACTTTATAGGTTTGAAGAAGAAAAAAAAAAACGGATGCGTGTTTGTCCGTGTGTATACACTCCAGTTGACCTGTGTTTTAATTTAAATTCGCTGCTAATCTGGCAATATCATTGTGAAGTATTCAGCTGACACGTTCAACAAATTCCGATGGCGTTCACATGCGTACCAGTAAAGGGTAGAATTACCCTAACAGCCAAGAAGATCTAAACAACTTTAAACATGTATTTAAACAACTCGTATTATAGCCTAACACTGGTCGCGGATTTGTTCTCAATGACTTGTTATACCCTGCAAACAAATTCCCTGGCAAAAGTATCCCTTCCCAACAAATCCGACATAAATCACCGACCACAATTGTCATCCGGGAGCATTAGCATTAGACGCTACAAAAACACCGGCATCCAGTGACATGCGAACAATTGGACAACTGACGTATTGATCCGACGAGCTACAATGGGATTTATTGCCAATGTTTTGCTATAGACGGCAGAGAACGCACGTAACAAACGATCGATGTAAACAGCCTCAGGTGAAAGCTAGCAACAGTCACGCTCGTCACCACAATAAATGACACGGCTATGGACTTGCGGCACGGCGATTCACGCGATAGGTACTTACGCACTTGTCAACTCAAATACGCCTGTGCATTTACAAGCTAAAAAGCAAAATGATTAATAGTGCATTAAAAGCAGAACCGCTGTCAGTGAGCGTAATAGCTTCATCTTCGATGTGAAATACTAGTCGCATATGGTTAAAAGACAAATATACAAGGAGTGCATGTCCGGGATGCCAATCCGATTTGTCGTGACCCTGCCTCGGTTTTTAAAAAAACGTAATTAGTGTTGTAAGCTCGGCGCTGCGGTTTTGTTTCGTAGAATACTAGTCAATATGTTAGTGACAGACATTTAATTAAAACTCACCGGGCACCCAATCGTCATCGTTGCTTGATTCCACACAGCCCATATTCAAGTCCGTGTAATTTCTCCTCGATACTGGCCTGAGCTGCTGCTACAATCCCTGTTGCTGGTTCACCGTTCTCACTGGCGGATCACTGGCCACTGTTGCTATTATGTCAGCCGAGTGGGTTGTTTTTTTTCTCACGTGTTCCGCACAATAATTGTTTCCATACGGCGCGCTCTTTAAAAACAACACGCCTTGTAGTGTCCACCCGCGCTAAACGGATCGCTACTTACTCCGCGGGCTCACTCACTGACAGTGTAGTTGACCTTTGACTTATTAGAGGGCCGCCTTCATTGGGATCGTTTATGATTCGTCGTGACGTCAGCAGATTCACATCACACGCCCGATTACGCGTTATCGAGGCGCGAAAGAAAGGTGGCGGACCTAACGATTAATTAGTAATTGGCATCGAAGCTAATTACGTGAGTTAAATAGAAAGTAATTTGAAGACCGGGAGAGGCCAGTCAACTCAGGAACCTTCATAAGCCTGAGAAAGTACATCGTTTAAGGGTGAATACACACAGAAACAAATAATTATAGGCACTGTTAACGAGAAAAAAAGACTCTGTACCGTGTTACTTAGCTTGAACGCGATTATAATTGATTTTGACACTTGTAGGCAATTACGTTGTGTTTGACCCACTGCATATGCGTCAACTGAACCGTTAAAAAAAAACGCGTCACCCCACTACTAGTTATTTCCAAATCGCACATCACTGGGCTATTGCCTAGTACATGTATTAATTACAACCTCCCTTGTGTCCGTAGCTTATCATCGAATTCCGATTCGTCAACGACCCCGTTGCCAACCGCCCGTGATATGAGCTCTTAACGGTCACTGTACACTATGTACCGATTACCGCAAAACTACACAAGGTTGGCAGCACCAGGGGCGCAATGACAGTCTTGCTTCGGTTCTAAACGAAACGTTGCATATGACTTATGAACACAGCGCCCTCTGTGAGCGCTTCGTTTTTTTTTAATTTTCAGCCCGCCAGTGAAATGGAACATTGCGATGTAAAATATTCCTACAACGGACTCAAAGAATATGTAAATTATGCCAGAATCAAAACAATTCAAGTGACACGTTGGATAACTCACGGTTATTTATTCACCATTAACACAAATTTCTTATCTATCTTCTATTCGACTGAACAAGAACGGAAACACATTCATGACCGGGTGACGACATTCCCACATTTCGGCAGATATTGTTTGTTGATGTTCAAGCTGGAATGTTTGTTTTTTTTATGGTAAATTAAGTAGAACACAAACAAACCAAATCATCAATGCATATTGTGCGTTGCATTCCACAATAATTCCTTGCAGCTGACCCACCCGCACCTTGTCTCCAACTAGTACCAAATGATACAATCTTGTATTTATTGCGCATGCTCACCCGTCAAATTACTTGAACTTATTGTTCGGATTTTTTTTTATTATTTAGTGTTTTTGTTGGACCTTGTATAAGTGTACATAATTGCCAGTGTGTTGATTTATCGTGCTAAAAAAGGTTCATACGACTGACACGCTATAACGTATTTGTTGGTGACATAATAAAATACGCAAAAGCGCGTGCGCTTTAAATTCGAGGTACGTACCATGAATTCAAACTGAATGCGTATTTCAATAGCTCACACAAAAATAAAAAAAAATAAACATTTCTCTATATATTTTAGAAAGTTTTTGATTAAGAATTGTAGCTACTAGAAAATAACAAAGAAAGTATTGAAATATTCATTCAATATTCATATTACATCGGTATATCACATGGATGACGTCACTGAAACCACTGCGCAACGATTCTGCCCTGCCCGATACTCGCCTTCGGCTCTGGCATCATCAATATCATAGTCATGACCACCATCCCTTGGGCAGGCAACAAATCGTGATATTACCCTCACAAGCATGTGTTATTATTTAAATAACGACAAGACAACTGACGATGTCCCGACACGCCATTTTAACAGCTGCACACATATCAATAACCAGCAGCTGGCGTGTGACTGCTTTTTCGGCGACAATTTCATACTGAGCTACATTGCAACGAATACCGTTGTTTATGCTTATTTATATTCCGCGTATATTGTAGTCAGAAAAAAACGGTAATTTGTTCAAGAGATCGCGTCGATGACGTCACACAACACATTCATCACTGCACGATCATATAAACATACTATATTAAACCGATATTTGATTGATATTAATTTTCGTTTATGACGCTGTGCGTCAAGAGTTGTGTGTACAGCAGTTGCTTACGTCACAATTTATCATTTCCCCCAGCCCGGCTGTGCGTTCCCATATAAAAAATATGATAGTTGTGACGTCACACGGTTAACGGAAGTCAATGCTCGCTCTTGTTAGCGTGCATCGAGTAGGCCAAGGTATGGACATCTTGAATTTTCAAGGTGAATGTTCCGGCGAAGCACTCCATTATCACCTTGAAGTATTTCATTAGGACTATGTGTATGTGACAATGCCCTCACAGTTTAGAATCAGTTTAACAACAGCCAATCATATAACTTCTTTCTTCAACGCGCTTGGCCAAGCTATCAAAATCTTCGAGGCGGAGCTAAGTCACTAAACACTCCGCGTTGCTATTTAAGACGCGAACCACTCTACCATGTATTTCTATGGACTCTGCGCGAGCTGCTGTGCACTGATCAAAAAGCCGGTGAAAATAGCTAAAATCGAGAAAACAGCACAAACTTAACTTTGAAGAAATCCAACCAAATTTAATATGTTGCATATGCAGGGGTGACAACAACCATCCCAAAATACCGTTTTCTGAGAATTTATTGGCCTTTGTTTCACCATGCTATGATGGTTACCAGGCGGTGAAAATGCCTGACCCGATAATAAATGTCGCTGAGCACAGCTAAAGCTGTGTTGGCTTGGATGTCGAGGCGATACAGCGACAATATCCATACATCATGCAACTCACTGATATTCAGACCAAAGCTATTCAAGCTTCACTTAATAATAGTGGTAATAGTGTTGTCACCACTGTTGACTACTATAGAAGAGTAGGTGTTATACCCCAAAGCTCGTGATATCACTGCAACACATATCGGCAGTAATGAAGCCGAAAACATCAGAAATGCAGA